CCCACACCCACACCCACACCCACACCCATACCCACACCCACACCCACACCCACACCCACACCCACACCCGCGACGTATTGATCGCAGTGCGCGTAGCTGCAACGCAGTCGGTAAAAAAGAGGCGACATGGGTTCATTCTTCTAGTCTCACTGACCTATTCTCAATTTATCATTGGTCTTACTGGAAAATGTGTTCAGATTCTATAAGTTCTCAACTTAGGGAACTCTCGAAAGTGCTATTTCACAAATGGTATCTAAATTAGATAACATCAATCAAAGCGTTTCACACACATCATACTGTGTACTTTTGAAGATTCTGGGAGTTTATAACTGATGAAATTCCGTTACTGCTCGCCAAACAGGTATAAGACACAATATGTGTCGCTGAGAGTTAAACCAAATGTTGCATCACTGAATACTGAATTTATTTTTCTTGCTGTTTTGCTCACATCATCACAAAGTGTATTATAATAAAAATGAAAAAAAAAGCAAAGTATCCAATGCATTGACACTCAAATAATTCAATAGATGAAAAACAAACAAGAGTTGGAAAGAATATTTAATGCAATTACTGATGTTGTTGGCAACCATATAATCAACTGCAACTAGGTAGAGTTTGTCTTGAGTGTCAACAAAACAAAAACACACACCCAGATTTAATGTCGTAGAAAAATTTAAAAAAACAGTCAACACCGAATATATATAGAAAAGACAAACTTTATTCAAATAGCATTTCACTGTACATTGTATTCTATTATTGATTCAATAACAGATTTTTCGTTCAAAATGAATCGACAACGACAGCGACAAATGGCTGAAAATTATCTAATGATCTGGGTTGACGGTAATATCAACATGGAAAACGAAGATTGCCAAAACATACTCGCGCAATTGCGTGGTGTTGTTAATGACGTGAACCCATGCACCACGGCCGAACAATGTATTGAGACCCTTCAAGACAATAGTGAGGAGACATCATTTGTCATCTCCTCTGGTGCACTTGGCCAACATCTTGTACCGGATATTCATGGCATGCCAAGATTAGATGGCATTTATATCTTCTGTGGTAACAAACAACGCCATCAAGAATGGGCCAAAAATTGGCCAAAAATTAAAGGCGTTCATACCACAATCAAAAGTATCTGTGAAAAACTGGCAGTAGCCGTCAAGCAATGTAATCAAGATCAGGTAACTGTCAGTATTATTGGCGTCAATGAAGGAGGTTCTAGCGAAGATCTCAATCGGCTAGAACCATCCTTCATGTATACACAAATTTTCAAGGAAATACTCCTTGATATGAAGCATGGTCAACAAGCCATTAAAGATTTGGTCACGTTTTGTCAAGAACAATACAAAGACAATCCCCAAGAACTCAAATTTATTCAAGAATTCGAACGTACTTATCGTCCATCAAAGGCCATTTGGTGGTATACCCGCCAATGCTTTACATACAAAATGCTTAATCGAGCATTACGAACGCTCGATGGTGACATAATCATTAGAATGGGATTTTATTTATGTCATGTCCATCGACAAATTGAAGATTTACATAGCAAGCAAATCGATCAATATCATGGTAAGACATTTTTACTTTATCGGGGTCAAGGATTCCTAACGGCAGATTTCGAAAAAATCACTAAAAACAAAGGTGGACTTATTTCGTTCAATAATTTTTTATCCACCAGTAAAAATCGAGATGTGTCCCTCGGTTTCGCCTATGGTGCCTTAGGAACAACAGCTATGGTCGGTGTTCTTTTCCAAATGGCCATCGATTCCACAGAGTCATCGACTCCATTCGCTTCGATTCGAGAGCTGAGTGATTTCGCACAAGAAGATGAAATTCTCTTCTCGATGCACACAGTTTTTCGAATTGGTAAAGTTCGAAAAATTGACAAAAATAGTCCACTTTATGAAGTGGATCTTAAACTTACAGCAGATGATGATCAACAACTACGTCGATTAACCAAAAGTATAGCAGAAGAGATCGGTGGCAGTGGGTGGTATCGCTTAGGTCAATTGCTGCTAAAAATAGGTCAATTTGACAAGGCCGAAGAATTGTATACCACATTACTCGAACAGGCATCGGACGACAGTGATAAAGCACATATCTATCATATGCTTGGCATGATGAAAAATGACCAAGGACAATACAAAGAAGCAGCTTCATATTATGAGACATCTCTCAAAATCTACCGAAAAACTCTCCCAGAAGATCATCCTTCATTGGCTGCTACCTACAACAATATCGGTCTCGCATATAACTACTTGGGTGAATATCCGAAAGCACTTGAATTTTACGAAAAAACAATTAAAATAAATGAAAAGGTTCTATCCCCGAAC